TATTAACATGAGTCTAGTATGAATTAGCATGTTACTAGCATGATTCTTGTACAAATTAGCATGTCATTAGCATGTTTCCAGTATGAGTTAGCATGTCATTAGCATGATTAGCATATGAGTAGCATGTTGCTAGCATGATTGGCATGTCATTAGCATGTTAGAATTATAAGCATTCGATAGCACACCTAATTACATTCTATAGGACAGTTGCTAGGGTGCAGTATGTGGTAGTTAGGGGTGTGGCTAGAAAGTTAAAAGCTCATCAGTTATTGGCAGTTTGGTAGTCTGTATGACAGTCAGATGCAGAGTTAAGAGCTCAAAAAGTTTGATCCCATGTTAAGTCAATGAGAGTCTTTTGTAATGGAAGTCTACGGGACAGTTGCTAGGGTGAAGTATGTGGTAGTTAGGGGTGTGGCTAGAAAGTTAAAAGCTCATCAGTTATTGGCAGGTTGGTAGTCTGAGTTAAATGAGCTCAGCCATTAGTCTGTATGACAGTCTGATGTAGAGTTATGAGCTCACAAAGTTTGATCCCATTTTAAGTCAATGAGAGTCTTTTGAATGGAAGTCTACGGGACAGTTGCTAGGGTGCAGTATGTGGTAGTTAGGGGAGTGGCTAGAAAGTTAAAAGCTCATCAGTTATTGGCAGTTTGGTAGTCTGTATGACAGTCAGATGCAGAGTTAAGAGCTCAAAAAGTTTGATCCCATGTTAAGTCAATGAGAGTCTTTTGAATGGAAGTCTACGGGACAGTTGCTAGGGTGCAGTATGTGGTAGTTAGAGGAGTGGCTAGAAAGTTAAAAGCTCATCAGTTATTGGCAGTTTGATAGTCGGAGTTAAATGAGCTCAGCCATTAGTCTGTAGGACAGTCTGATGCAGAGTTATGAGCTCATAAAGTTTGATCCCATGTTAAGTCAATGAGAGTCTTTTGAATAGAAGTCTATGGGACAGTTACTAGGGTCCAAAAGTGGTTGCTAGGGCGTGTCTAGAAAGTTTAAAGGTGATCAGTCATTGGCAGTTTGATAGTCTGAGTTAAATGAGCCCAGTTAGAAGTCTGTGTGACAGTCTGACGCAGAGTTATGAGCTCACAAAGTTTGATCCAATGTTAAGCCTATGGGATTTTTCCGACAGTCCCGGGACGTTTTTCGGAAAACCGAAAGTCGGATCAGTCGGAAAAGATATAGCATAAAGAGTCAGACCAGTTTGGAGGTCTGGTGTGAGTTTGGTGGTAATAGTTTGAAAGTTTAAGGAGCAGATAGATTTTGAATTTTAGTCTCAGAAGAAGAATAAATAAAAATAATAACTAGATTATTAAAGTTCGTCGAGACAAACTTTAGGCTGGCTTGAGAAAGCTTTAATTTTTTAAGTTTTAAAGCAGTTTTAAGTTAGAAGTAGCTTAAAGTTTTAAAGCAGTTTTAAGTTTAAAGTAGCTTAAAATGTTGAAGCAGTTTTAAGTTTAAAGTAGCTTGAAGTTTAGCATGATTCTAGCATGAATTATCATGTTAGCATGATTCTAGCATGAATTAGCATGTTAATAGCATGATTCTAGCATGAATTAGCATGTTACTAGCATGATTCTAGAATCACTTAGCATGTATTTAGCATGGATTAGCATGATTTTAGCATGAATTAGCATGTTAATAGCATGATTCTAACATGAATTAGAATGTTACTAGCATGATTCTAGCGTCAATTAGCATGTTACTAGCATGATTGTAGCATGAATTAGCATGCTACTAGCATGATTCTAGCATCAATTAGCATGCATTAGCATGATTTTAGCATGAATTAGCATGTTACTAACATAATTCTAGCATGAATTAGCATGTTACTAGCATGATTCTAGCGTCAATTAGCATGTTACTAGCATGATTCTAGCGTCAATTAGCATGTTACTAGCATGATTCTAGCATGAATTAGCATGTTACTAGCATAATTCTAGCATGAATTAGCATGTTACTAGCATGATTCTAGATTCAATTAGCATGTTATTAGCATGAATAAGCATGATTTTAGCATGTTACTAGCATGATTCTAGCATGATTTAGCATGTTGTTAGCATGATTCTAGCATGAATTAGCATGTTACTAGCATGATTCTAGCATGAATTAGCATGTTACTAGCATGATTCTAGATTCAATTAGCATGTTATTAGCATGAATAAGCATGATTTTAGCATGTTACTAGCATGATTCTAGCATGATTTAGCATGTTGTTAGCATGATTCTAGCATGAATTAGCATGTTACTAGCATGATTACAGCATGAATTAGCATGTTACTAGCATGATTCCAGCATGAATTAGCATGTTGTTAGCATAATTCTAGCATGAATTAACATATGACTAGCATGATTCTAGCATGAATTAGCATGTAACTAGCATGATTCTAGCATGAATTAGCATGTTGTTAGCATGATTCTAGCATGAATTAGCATGTTACTAGCATAATTCTAGCATGATTTTGTATGTTGTTCGCATGAATTAGCATGTTACTAGCATGATTCTAGCATGAATTAGCATGTTGTTAGCATGATTCTAGCATGACCTAGCATGTTGTTAGCATGATTCTAGCATGAATTAGCATGTTGTTAGCATGATTCTAGCATGAATTAGCATGTTACTAGCATGATTCTAGCATGAATTAGCATGTTGTTAGCATGATTCTAGCATTAATTAGCATGTTGTTAACATGATTCTAGCATGAATTAGCATGTTGTTAGCATGATAGATAGATAGATAGATAGATAGATAGATAGATAGATAGATAGATAGATAGATAGATAGATAGATAGATAGATAGATAGATAGATAGATAGATAGATAGATAGATAGATAGATAGATAGATAGATAGATAAATAGATAGACAGATAGACAGATAGATAGATAGATTAAAGCAGTTTATAGATAGATAGATAGATAGATAGATAGATAGATAGATAGATAGATAGATAGATAGATAGATAGATAGATAGATAGATAGATAGATAGATAGATAGATAGATAGATAGATAGATAAAAGCAGTTTGAAAAAGGATAGATAGTTTTGAGGTCACAAAGTTAGATCTATTAAGTCAATGACAGTCTTTTGCAGTAAAAGTCTATGGGACAGTTGTTGCTAGGGTGCAGTATCTGGTAGTTAGGGTGTGGCTAGAAAGTTAAAAGCTCATCAGTTATTGGCAGTTAGGTAGTCTGAGTTAAATGAGCTCAGCCATTAGTCAGTATGACAGTGTGATGCAGAGTTATGAGCTCACAAAGTTTGATCCCATGTTAAGTCAATGAGAGTCTTTTGAATGGAAGTCTATGGGACAGTTTCTAGGGTCCAAAAGTGGTTGCTAGGGCGTGGCCAGAAAGTTAAAAGCTCATCAGTTATTGGTAGTTAGGTAGTCTGAGTTAAATGAGCCCAGTTAGAAGTCTGTGTGACAGTCTGATGCAGAGTTATGAGCTCACAAAGTTTAGTCCAATGTTAAGTCTATGGGATTTTTCCGACGGTCACGGGACGTTTTTCGGAAAATCGAAAGTCGGATCAGTCGGAAAAGATATGGCATACCGAGTCAGAATAGTTTGGAGGTCTGGTGTGAGTTTGGTGGTCATAGCTCGAAAGCTCTAGGAGGAGATAGATTTTGAATTTTAGTCTCAGAAGAAGAAGAAGAATAATATATAAAAAAAATAATAAGTTTAAATAGGATTTCAGTAGTCTGGCTTGTTTCTCAAGCCAGCCTAATAATAAGTTTAAATAGGATAACAGTAGGTTGGCTTTGACAAGCCAGCCTAATAAGTTTAGAAAGGATAACAGTAGTCTGGCTTTGACAAGCCAGCCTAATAAGTGCATGCATTATCAATTTTAAAATATATAATGGTAGAATATTTATTAAGGCATTTTGTTTGTCTCTCCGTCTCTGCTATAATAATTCATCATGACTAAATCACATTCAAATGAAAAGTTTGTTTACACACACAACCTGTGGTCAATTTTCTGACAGACAGAATTACAATTTAAAATTTGAATTTTAATGATAATGAAGTTTGGTTTTTCACGATTATCATAAACTCGTGGTAAATCCTTGATGATGCACATGTACATGTATGCACAGTATATGTTTGTGTGAATAAAAATATATCTTGCTATTGAATAAAAATTTTATAAATTGAATATAAATTTGTAAAAAAATCTGCGAATGTGGAATGATTTTAGGAGTATCATAACTAAAAACTTAATATATGAAATAAAATATAATACATTTTTAAAATGTAAATCCAATTAGATTCACTTATTTGGTAAACAAAGCAAGTCTCTTATATAATATATCTACTAAAAGACTAATGTTACTTTACAAACTGTACTGTAAACAAATCATATAAACACTTTAATATTACTATTATTAGTAGTTCTGAATTTGGTATTAATTCATAATGATTATTTGTTGACTACAATTTCAACTACCTGACCCGCATGGTCTTTCTCTCTGGGGTTTTGTGATCAAAGTACCCGCTGAATGCCTGGAGCTCAGTCGTTCGCATATGCATATATGGACGATGGGATCCTGTATTGACCCAACCCTAATACAAACGCTACAAAATTTTAAACAATTCATAATTCACTGAATATTCATTTAATTTGAATTTATTCAATAAAATACGCATTATGATTTATATTTGTAAAATACTTGATAAAGCTATATTAAAAATATCTGTTACATTACTAAATATCAAAACAATTAAGTCTTTGTATTTATTTACTGAATTACTTACAAATTGTTCATTACATTTTAAATGACTAATTTACAACAAATAAAAATTTAAATACATCAAAAGAACATTACAAAGCAGTTTTTTTCATGAATGCTGCAGTAAGCAATGACACCAATCTCATGCATATTTACCCAAACACAACAAAACTCAGTCTTTGTGAATGTCACTCCACCTTGGACAGACTGACAGATCTCACGACACTAGCGATGTGAAATAACCAATGGTAGATGTTGTTGCTGTAAATGCAGTGAGTACCTTGAGAAAACAGCTCAGATCCTTGTGCGAACACCAGTCCTTTTCCACACATCAAGCCCAGATAAAGCAGTCTGAGAGAGAGCGAGTGAGCCATGGCTTCTGCGATCTCCCTGTACAGTGAAGAAAAGACAAGAAAATCATTATCAGCCGTGCTCCTGGATGACCAATACTGAGCTGAAATCCACAGTCAGCCTTCATCCTCCTTCACAATTCATTTCCATATTCCTTCAAGCAAATGTGCATTGACTCTCTCAGTTTGTGTGTGTGTGTTTCATTATATATCTATATGGTATTATTGCAACATTAACATAAGCTTTGTTACTTTAAAATGAATACTAAAACTACATTTTTGTGTTGCTTTTTGAAAAATGCATTTTCTAGGTTATTATATAGATGGAAGTTTGACCATATTGAGGTGCTGCATAATATTTTTGCGCCTGCTAGAGCAATGGTACAGCATCGAGATCCTTGATTATTATGCTGGAAGGAGAGTATAGTTCCTAGCCTTTGGATAGCCATGTCCTAGAAAGCATCACCTTTTTAATTTCAATCAGTCTTAGTACACAATATAATTATAAGAAGAGTCAAGCTTTAAATAGGAAAATTATCAAAACTCTTAACACTAACAGTGCTAACGTTAACTAACATGCTAATAGTCTAATCTCATTCAATGATTTATGCTAAGCTAAGCTAAAAGTAAAAAGATTATAAAACTCATTTGTTTAACTTTTGGGGACTTGAAAATTTTTTTCAAATGTCCAAAAAAGTGGATTGTTCTTTTAAAAATATAAGTACATTCACATGGGCTTCGGCATCAACTCTTAATAGAGAAAGTGTCTGAAGCGATCATCATAGCAGTGTCAGCCAATAAAATTTGCAACGTAGAAAACGTAGCCCTTTATATGTTACTGGAGATCACAAAATATGTAGTCAGATGGACATATGGCTGCATTTCATTTTAAAAACAAACGCCACAGGGGGATGTGCAGCCTCTCCTTTACGCGCGTTCCAGTTAACCGCTTACCTCAGTATGAATGGCATTCACGCTGTTACCAGCTTGTCTAGTTAGCTTGCCATGTACTTCGGTGAACTTGAAACCACAATTATGAGGTTCAAGTCTGGTGAAGAAAGGTTCCAGAAAGGAGGTAAGACAAAAATGGAATTCAAAAAAATCGAATAAACCATTAAATGACTGGGTAGAATATAGAAATACATGGCAAAAATTAGGCGAGGGATTTTCTTTTTCTGAATGGCTTTTTAAATTTGCCAGTTGGGTTTAAGGAAGTGGGCGGATGTGTCAATAAGTGCTTTTGAAAATACTATTAATTACGTTTAGGGAAAGAAGAGGGTCTGTCAGTATATCGGTCAGTCAACAGTGGCTTCTAGTGGATTTACACGAGAACAGCAAAGAAATGGCGCTAGCGTACACAACAGCGTCTGATGGATTCGCATCGTAGCTCCTGGGACGTATTTGGCGCTCTCCAGAAATGTGTATAGAGGTACGTTTTCAGAATGAGCCTTGTCTGGAAATTTGACAGAGCTGAAGTATTTGCATAAAGCGATCTGACTGAATGATGCTTCAAGTGTCACTTGAAAAGGTGAAAAATTCCTAACTTCTGCAGCGAGACGAATCCACATTTCAATTTGGCAATTCTTGATGTCACCCATTCAAAGTAAATAACTTTGATGCTGATACCCCATTTGAATTTGGCATAAGGCCTCAATAGTAGATGTTCATTAATAGCAACCTATGACACAGAAGTTATGTTAATGTTGAAAAAATTTGAAAAAAAAATTCATTTAAACTTTAAGTTATTAGCTCTATTAAACAAAACACTTTCAACATTTTATTTTAATGAGTTATTAAATATTAAATGGAGAATTAACACCACCTAAGATTAAAACATGTTTACAAATGTTTTCAAGACTAAATGTTTTTTAGACTAAAACAGCATTTTCAAAATGATCTGTATAGCCTACAGTATTAAGTTTTCAAGTAGTTTGTTCAATGATAAATCGAATGATCTGAATATTATAAAATGCTTAAATACTAATGATTATTCACTGTGATGTGTAGCACCCTCAATGACAACATCATGCACATTCATCATCTCAAAATACTGTATTATTGAATATCGGCACATGTCTAGCCTCTTCTGCTCTCTCCGTTAATTCTTGGCAGGTCTGTGTGAAACCCTACACGAGGACACCACACAATTAACAAGCAGACGCAACCTCTGCAGAGCTCAGCACTTCCAGCCAAACAGTATGTGGGCTTGTCATTATCTACGGCTGACCAGGGGTCTTCAAGCTGAAGACAGTGCGGAGGAAGATTCGCAAGCTAATATTCCACATTAACTGTGTTAAACTACAACACTCCATTATAAAAAATAAGCAAGGCCAAACAGAAAGCCTTTCAAAATGTCAAACTCTCACGCAATCTCAGTCAAAGGTCCTGATGAAACATCATCCCGCATGGAACGAGGCATAAAGAATTTAAACTGCCTTTGACTTGTATTAGAGCTACAGAAATACCGTTGACAAGCTGCCATCATTCATTATGAGATACTGTATGTTGGGGCGCTTCATGATTTACATTTTGGGCACAGTTGATCCTGTCAAATCTATTAGCCATTTTTGGGCGTCGTAACAATATTATTGCATGAAACAGATAATGGTTTGTCTGAAATGGTGATGAGATTGTGACATAGTGAGAAATTACTGTCGCCTGTAAGTAGGCTGAACAGGTTGTATCCAGCCGGCCTAAAAATAAATACACTATATTTATTTGGTTACCACCACAAATCATAAAGAGGTCAGTGGTGTACTAGGACTGATGAGTCTAATCTTAACAGTATATCTAAACATAAAGATTTATGCAGACAACAAGTATCTCCTGAAAGAGATTTTGGTTCCCCTAATAAAACACAGCGTCATAAAAGCCTCTTTCACAAAGTGAAACAGGTAAATATCCGGTAAATTTCCAGCACAACTTCACTAGTAAATTCTGGACGTTCCAGAATTTTTCCAGAAAAGACAATTTGCACATCTATTCCAAAATACAGGTAAATTCTGACATCACAAAACAGAAATACCTTTAAATCGTTGCGCTTATATTTGTAAACATAGAAATGGTCAGGCTTTTGTTGATGGTTTTACTTTTATTTAAAACTTTATCATTCATGCAGCTGCTTTGTCCCAGAGACATGCAAAGGCAGAAGCGCTAACCACAGATAAATGTTTATACATTTGACTACATTACAAAATCTGTAGATGGACAAGTCTTGTGAACAACTTTGATGAAAACATATGGAGGAACACTTTCGCATGTCGAGATGTACATTACATGTTTTTGTGCTGGCACTTACCAGCACCTTCATGTGCACACTCGTCAAGCAACCGAAGCAGAGCTTGAAGGTAAACAAACAGCATTTTATCAAAAGCATTTTATCAATAAATTTTTAAACATTATTAAAAAAAATTGGCATTAAGAAGCAACACATAGTCGTTATCTGACTAACATCTAGCAGCTAAATGTGTCTGGAAAATTATTCAAAGGTTTTTATTTTCGTAAACGGTGCAGATGTGAATGCGTCTGAATGTTTTGACTGGCTGGAGTAGACGTCTCATGTCAGCACTTTCTAAACGAGAATGCGCTCTTTCTGCGTTCACAAAGAATAGCATTCCGGCAAATTACCGGTAATGTTACAACTTCTCTTTCCAGAAAATTGTTGGAACGAATTTACCAATTGGCCTGTTTACACATACAGAGCTTTCCGGAAAATTGCAGGTAATAATCAGATATGTGTGAAATTAGCTAAGGAGTCTCAATCGGATATTTTTGAGTAACATTATTGCTGCTAAAGAGTCCCTATTATGGGGTTTTGAAAATGAAAATCAAAGTCTACATGAAACAATATCAAATATGAAGTGCTGGTTCCGGTTTAAACATGAATGAGCCTTTCCCTTCAAACACTTGCAGAGTGTGGATGTGTGTGGGACTGATCATGACAGAAGATGAGTAAAAAATTAATAAGCAAACGTTGATTAATGCAATAATCTACCCTACAACAGGGGAATTTGTCGGCCGTTTAATAAAGGAAGGATCTAAAAAAATATTGATATGTGATTGATTGATTAACCAGTCAGAGCGCTCTCTTTAGCCAATGACCGACACAGATTCTACATGCTGATTCGAGCCAACAAGCTCTAACATTAACCCAATAATTAAACCTGATTATAAACCCGAGGTGACGTGTGAAACACACTAACACCCCATTCACACGGCATCAGCGTCAAGGCTTCTCATTCACTTTGAATGGTTGACGTCAGGCGTTGCCGAACTGCATTGTGGATCTGTCGGCGCTGCTTCAGAGGCGTTGCTCGCAGCAGAAGTTGGGACTTGCTCAACTTTTCAAGCGTCTACGGAAGCGTCAACCAATCAGATCGCTACACCAGCTCAGAAAGTAGCTGATTGCTGACTAATTTCATTGGCTGACACTGCTAGGACGATCATGCAGCCCCCAACTTCAGACACGCCCTTTGTCAAGCATTGACGCTGAAGCCCAGTGTGAATGTGAGTGCTCCGACGATAAACAAAGGTCTCAAGGAATTGGAACAATGTGAAAACGATCCCTTTAATAATAATAAGCAATATAATAATAATAATAATGATAATAATAATAATAATAATAATAAACGATATAATAATAATAATAATAGGTAGGATTAGTGTAGGCTGCATTCAGGTGTGTGGTCTACAAACTTTAGTATAATTAAAGCTAGTCAGATCATTGTTTTGTGTCTAATTGTTTTGTTTTGTGGCAAGTAATAGTGTAAACAGTGGTATAACGTACATCTAGCTTGTTGTTTTTGCAGAAACACAAGCTGTTTGAACATTATCAATTACTTAGAACATTAGTAGCATGTGCCAGCTTCTTCCCAACATGTATGCAGCCGTTTTGGAATGATGTAAACATTTTTAGCATTAATAACATGCTGCTAATTGCAAGACCATTATTACCATGTTTATTGGTACAATATGTCATGGTCTGTCACCTGCATGTTGTCACAGTCATTCATGTTTGTTTTCTCGTAGCACATGGCATTG